AAATAATATTTCTACAAAATAATAAAATTAATTTAATTATTATATATAAAAAAATTAAAATAATAAATTAATACTTTATTTAAAAATTCTTTATTTAAATATATGAATTATTAAGACATTTAAGAGATACTTCTACTTCTTTACTTCTAATCTAATTTTTATCATTATATGAATAAGATTCTATATATTCATCTAACTAAGAAGCTTTATATATATTACCAAATCCTCCTTTATCAAGATATTCAATATTTTCTAATTTATTATAAGGAATCTATTCTAATATTTGCTTTGAATTTTTAGCATTTAGTTGAATTTCTTGTATATATTTATTAATAAATTTATTTTTGTTAATCCAAAAAGAAAATTTTTGATGAAATACTTTAGTATTACATTTATTACACCAAATATATTCAGTATTTTTTTTATTACATTTTTTGCATATTCCTTTTTTTCTAAATAAATTTTTAAATAATTAGTATATTTTAATAATTTTATTATAATTTAGAAATATGTATAATACTTACTAAAATTTAATATATTTATTATTTTAAATATTAAAATTATATTGTATATTAAAGTAAAATTAATACATAATAATAAATAAAAGTATTTACTATCTAAAGTATTAATAATTTTTAAGTAAAAAATTTATTAAAATAAAATTACAGATAATAACTTACCATTTATTATATTATTAATCATTAATTATTTTTTTAAATAAAAAATTTAGTTAGTTTAAATTAAAGTAAAAAGTATAATTAAATACTGATAATCAATAAAAATAACTTATTATCTATTATATTATTAAATTATTAATTATTTTTTTAAATAAAAATTTGGTTGAATTTAAATTATAGTAAAAAGTATAATTAAATACTAATAATCAATAAAAATAACTTACAATCTAAAATTTTAAATTATTTTTATAAATAAAAAATTTAGTGAATTTAAATTATAGTAAAAAGTATAATTAAATACTAATAATCAATAAAAATAACTTATTTTATATTCGAGATCTTTGAATCAGGCCTAAACATTAAAAAAAAATTCTGATTTCTTAACTAAATCAATTATAAAGAATTTAAATCTTATTATTTTTTTTAAATTAAGGAATTTTTTGAGACTTGAAAAATAGAAAATTACAATAATGATAATGTAAACAATTTTAATAAATGAGATACAAAGTTGAAAATTTCTATATTATTAAATGGGTGGGTTGCAATAAATCTCTTACAGACTATATGAATTTATTATGACCTTAAACTTGATTTTAATAGCAACTATAGTATTTAATAATATAAAATATAAAATTTATTATTAAATACTGTAAACAGGTTAGAATTAATTTATCCTTACCATTTTATTTATTTTTTAAAAAAAATAGTGATTAGTTAATATGTAAACTGCAATGTGAGATATATATTTAATATTTTAAAATTCTTACTAATTATTTTTAAATACAAATAAAAAAATACAATTTTTTTATTTATTTTACATGCAAAATTGTCTCAATTAATTATGAAGGTTATCATTAAATAATAATAATTGAATAAAACATTCATAACTTACATTTGAAAAAAAAACCACGTATATAATTGTTAATGATAATTAACATTACTAGTGATACCTTCTATTTTCGTAAAAGATTGTGATGTAATGAAAATTGTATGTCAATAAATCTTGAAATAATAAAATAAAGTTTTATAAAGGATGAAATGAAATAAGTTTATTAAATAAATGATAAATAAATATGATTACTGTCTCTGCAGATGCTCTATAATAGGCATTTTACAAATAGAACGATCTAATTCAAATCCTATCTAACATTAAGAACGAAAAACATATAATCAAATATTTTTTCCATAGCTTGCTGCAGAATTCCTTAAAAATATCAATATTAATCAGATATACTGTTTAATTGATTTTATTATCAAAAGTGGTCATTTTGACATATATTTTTCATCAGTCCACTTTCGAATGGACAGAGAGGATCCAAAAAGTCAATTCCGACAGTATTGTGATGATTAATTTTTTGGCTTGAGTAACAGTAACAAGCTAGAATATATATTACATAGGTTTTTCTCTTCAGTATTATGTAAGTTTTATTTTATTAATTTTATTTTTGTTGATTATTATTATGTTATTTTAAATTACATTTCCATCCTTTATTTTTTTTTTTAAATTAGGTGATTCGCAGATGTTATTTGTTACTTTATAAAAGTTGCAGTATCCCTGATAACTATTCAGAATTCAAAAAAAAACCTATAAAAGCAATAAACATGTATAGACATTTCCTATGATTAAATAATTAAGCTATCTGATGAGGTCAAATCCAAAAGAGAAACCAAATGAATTACCAGCGATTAATCCTAAAAAATATATCAAAAATAAAAATAAAATAATAAAATACGCACATATACTATTGTATATACTGCTTTCTTCCACCTATAAAAAAGCATTGCAACAAAAAAATCTAATAAAAATTGAAAAATAAAAAAATTCACGTTCATGTAATTGTTTGATGCAATCAAAAACTAAAAAAAATATTACGATTAAAAACAATTATATTGGAAGGTTTGCTTACATTTAGCATTTAGCGGCCGCAAAAAATAAATTCTTACCATAAAAGTCATTATTAATAATATTCTTTCAATTATGTCTGATAAAAAGCTATTCTTAAGCATCATAATTATTAAAATTAAAACTTGGAATATCATCAATATATGCAACAAACTATCACAAAAGACAGGATATTGTATTATGATCCAGTGCAAAAAGATTTGTATACTGCCAAAAAAAGAAAAGATTTACGCTAAAATAAATATCGTGTCACTAAAATAAAGTGGGCTAAAAATTAAATATTTGTTAGAACATAACCAAACACATTTTTTCTCACAAGTTTTTTTATCATGTCATGAATCTTCTTTTTTTAAAACGAAATGGCATACCACTGATGGATAATGAAAAATTGATGATAATTAACGTTCACAATTACTTTAAGGGGATAAATCTATAAAAGAAAGCCTTCAGAAGCTACTATTACACAAGCGAATTGCTGAGATATTAGGTGTATCTAAAGGTACAATTGGAAGTATTGTGTCAGATTGCAACAGCTGTGGTAATAATACATTCACACCACACAAAGTTCTTGGATGACCTATATTAAAACCTGATGAAAATGTAGCTGAGCATTTGCGTATGAAGGTTCTAAGTGCCAATAAAGAAGGTGAACACCTTTCCATACCTATTCTAAAACAATTTCTTTCTAAACAAGGATATACCATTTTTAAATAGAAGCTCCTTCAGATACTACATCGCTTGGGATATTATTTTGGCCAGGGAGAGTGAAGAAACATCCTTCACGAATCCCAAATAATGCTACATTCCGTTACCATTATCTTCGTTATAGGTTTGCTAATTTGGAAGGTAAAAATGATGTTCTATGCTGCCCAGAGGTTTTCCTTGATAAGTCATATTACCATTTACACCACACTTTGTGAAACACATGGGTTCCCCATCAAGATGTTATTTTATCACCTGGGCATAGACCGTTAGTAGTAATTTTTGGTGCAATTATATTATTTCGAAATGGGTCTTCTAATAAACTGCATGATGAACTTGTTCCAAACTCTGTTCATATTTAGGATCCAAAAATTAAACCTCCAGGAAATAGAGGTCGAAAAAGAAACAATACTAAAGAATGGGATAATATTTCTGATGTTATTAAGGATGCCAATATTATTCCAAACCAGGTAGATTATTACAGAAATTTCAATGCAGAAATATTTGAGAATCTTTTTACAACTCTGTGTAAAAATCTTCATGAAAATTATGGGTCAGTAATCATCCATATGGATGGAGCTAGTTATTATAAACGATGAGTAGAAAATATTCTGATTTCAAGTGCTAAAAAACAAGAAATAGTTGACTGGTTAAATGTACATGAAATTTCTTTTTCTGGTGAATTAAGAAAAAAGGAACTTTGAAACTAATGCAAATGAATCAGAAAAAGGTTCCTTTTTTTTGTGTTAAAATAGTAGAACAGTATGAACATGAAATTAATTTTACCCCTCCATATCATTGTGAATTACAACCTATCAAAGGTGTTTGGTCAGTAGTAAAGGGTGAAGTTGCACGTTCAGGTCTACATCCAAACCTTTTATCTATTCGAAACAAACTATTAGATACATTTAAACACAAAATTATCTTACAAGTTATTATCGGGCTTTGGAGAAGAGCATTAAACAATGCTAAGGAATATTTTGCATCTAACAAAAATGCATAATTAATTGATGATGAATTTGATGATTATAGTAGTTCTGATGATGATCATGTGATTTGATTCAATTTTCACATTTTTATACTTTCCGATACATATTAATATTGTTTAAATAAAAAAGAAAAAAGTTTATTTAATAAAATTTTTTTATTGGTGGTTTTTTTCAGTGTACAAATGTTTTTGCACTGGACTATAATACTAATATCATTTTTATAACCTTTAATTCAGAAGGGCAATTTGTTTAGAGAACAAATTGACTTATATCAAAATATTTCAAAGATCATTTAGGTCAACTACTAACCAAATTAAGAAAATTATTGTATATATAATAATACTTTTTAGAATTTCCTGATAAACATTTCTCCAATATAAATCGATATATTGATAAAAAAAAAAAATTAGTTTCACAGGCGGCGGTATTATATTTCAAGTGGTTGTAATAAAGGTTATTTGAAACCTTTATTTTTTCCAAAAGTTTCAATGGGTATTCGAATGTTGAGTCTGGGCTTTTAGACCTAGAAAATTCTTTTCAACCCTAATAATTTATATTAAGCTATGCAGAATTATCATTTCTGTCATCAAAAAAGTTTCCTTTTTTATAATATCAAGCATGCGTATTATGCATCGAAGAATATCATAATAATATAACTATCTATACTACAAAAATGGTTGTTCAAATTTTCTTCTGTAACTCTTTCTATCAAAATTTTTCCAAGTAAATATGAACTCTAAAAGACTTCTCTCTGCACCTATTTGGTATAAAATCGAAGGTCATCACGCAAATAAAATGATTAAAGAGCTTCCTGAGGATGATTTTATTGACTTTTTTGATGCAGTCAGAATAGAAAAAAGACTTCCAATTAGTAAATCGACACTGAATTTACATGTTAAAAAAGAAATTATTTTATATACCCTAAATGAAACAATATTTATTCATGATTGTCAAGGTTATTTTTCTAAACTTATCAATATATTTAAGATCAATAAACAAAACCTCATTGAAGTGATGCTTCCAGGTACGACTTATAATTATTATAATAAAATATAATTATACCATTTGTGATGTTAGCTAACTTATGCTTTCTTTTAATATGTGTCTTTAGATGAATATCAAGGTATAACTTTGCATTATATTAATTATTAACAAAAAAATAACGCGTAACTAATTTATTGTATTAATAAATATCACATGTATTTTTACAAGTATCAGCCCCTTCAACTAGTTCTCAAGATTCTCAAGCTGAGAAAATTGATATAACATACAAGTCTCATTCTTCATAGCAAAAGAAAAAATATGACAGATTGGCTAATGAAAGCTTGAAAGCATTATATTTAGAATTAATTTGTAATGGGCGTAAAAATAATGTTCCAAGTATGTGGCATAATTATTGTAATCTTGTACAATTTGTGATATTAACTAAATAGTGCTTTCTTTAACACTTGCCTGTAGGTGACCAAGGTAAAATTTTACATCATAATAAGTTTTGTTGTATTAATAAATATCCTTTGTGCTCTAAGAATCTACCTCTTCTACTGGTTCTTAAGCTGAAAAAAATGATAAAATATACAAATCTTTACCTTCATGGCAGAAGAAAAAATATAACAGATTGGCTAATAAAGCTTAAATGCATTCTATTTAGAATTTGTTCATGATGAACATGAAAAAAATGTATGTATTATTAAACTTTATCAATTATTTAAGTGAAATTTTTTACTAAATTGAACTAGATTTTTCATTGTAACTTTCGCTACATACTTCACTTTATTAGGATCTTAACCTTGATGTTATTAAAGTTGCACTTATTATACTTGTTAATATTTCAATTAGTATTTTATATATAACACATGGTGACAATGAATCTCTCAAAAAGTTTATGCTTATTTTAAATGCAACTAATACTGATTATGGAATTTGTAAACTAGTTCTTATAATAAAAATTTTATATTAGACTTATTCTACGATAAAAGATACTTTGTTCTACTTGTATTTACTTTATTGCTAGTATTATTAGGGATATTATTAGTATATTATTAGGGTTATTTGCTGCTGTTTTATAAAACATACCAATTTCTTGGGTAGAAGCTGGCTTAGAATGGTCAGAATTACACTTAAAATTATTTCAGAAATGATAAAGCTTGTATTTGCTTTTAATGAAATTATTACCAAAATGCATTAATTATTATAATAGTCAAACTTGAGTAGTTAACATATGGGAACATTTCCAGTAAAATCAAGTCATGAGGCATAGTAAATCATATGATCTGTAATGTGATTTTACTGGAAACGCTTCCATATTGTGTAAAAAATATTATTAGCCTAAATGATTATCTGATTATACATCTCTAATACTAATTGGCTAATATCCAAAAAAAAATTGTACAAGCCTTATGTAACCTAATTTGTGTTGGCGTAATCTTCACACTTCAGTCTATCATGCCATCTTTAAATCCTTTGAAAAGGTTCTGAAAAAATTTCTTTTATTGATTTAATCCTCTTTAGCTTGAAAATTATGACATTATATTGAAAATCTTTATCTAGATCAAGGTGAAATAATTAATGTTGGTGATTATCGACCAATTGGGCCAAACCTGAGGATTAGATCATTTATTTGATAAACCAAATATTTCACAATTTTTTTTGAAATCATCCTAAGGCACATCTTTTTGAACAAAATTTATATAATAATGATTATAAAAATCATAAATATTTTTAATAGATATACACTGGTTAATGTTTACTTGAAACGATTGAAGATGATATATTGTTTGATGTGCTTGTTGCTGCAGCAGATGAGTTATCATTAATTGAACTTATCATATACATTGAGAAATGTATTATAACCAAAAGGAAAGATTGGATACATAAAATCTCGTACGAGTTTAAAAAATCATCATTTCTTCACCATACTTTAATTGAATTATTACGAATTGATTGACGACAATGCCGATTCTTTATTAAAATCGGATAATTTCATGTCAATTGATGAAGGAATTATTAAAACGGGACGATATTATAGCTGAATAAGTTGAAATATGGAATAAAACGATTAAATGGGGAATTAAACAAGAACCAAAGATGATTTACCGAGAGAAATGTTAACAGAACTTCACCACATATTAGATTTTATACCATCACGGCGTCAATTTAAACCTTGATCATGATTTTAGAATGAGGATAAAGAAATTTTTATTGGTGTAACTTTTGAAGCACCGCATTACCATACCGATCACCTGTATCATTCAAGTCAAATGGAATTTATTGCAACTTGAATTGATAATAAGGAATTAGTTGAGAACTTTAACGAATTGGTAACTTATAAATTTCGACTTCTTTTGCGTGAAAGTTGTGATGGGACGGGAATTGAAGATCTTCACGAGTTATGTAATAATAAGGAGGCAAGTTTAGTTGTAAGAAACAAAAAAAAAGTTTTTTTTTCCCATTAAACTTATTAAACGATTTTATTTTAAGTATGAATCTATTTATTTTTTTAAAAAAAGAGACAAACGCTTAGGTGCCACGACGCGAAAGATCTCCGAAAACCACCTCTTCGAAGATGATTCAAAGATCAATCAAGATAAACATATCATTCATTTTCAGGATATTAATCACTTTATAACAATATATTGCAAAAGCTAAAACTCTTAGCGAAGTTATTGGCACTTGACGTAAATCTGATATTTTAAGTGATATTAATTGGGATAATATTTTTAGAGCAAGAAATTATTTTGCACGTTGACATAAACTTGAAATTAAGTTATGAAGATGGTGTTTCAACGATGTACCTACTTAATTGCGTGATGGAATCATAATTAAAAAATTCATTTACTTTTACCAAATTCGATTATGTATTTTAATTATTTATTTACTCTAAAAAACATACGTTTGAGTGCCTTTAGTCGGAAAGGAGTTATGGAAGAATATTAAATATGGTATTGTTATGTCATACTTTTAGCAAAACCACATAAGTCCTATAAAAAAATACAGTACAATTCAATTTTTATGTCATAAAATAACAAGATAATTTCGATAATTTCTGGACTATATAGGAGAAGAAATAATCCCAATTATTTTCAAATATTAAAATAAAATGCAGTCAAAATGATTTTTTGTAGGGTGGCAAAATATGAAATAACCATAACAGTTCAGAATCCGAAAAATATCATGTATATATATATGTACAGTATATATTTTTTATTTTTCACATTTTGGAAGTGGCTGGGCCAACACCCGTTTACTTTATGAACTTATACATTGATAATAATTCCCCAGCTAAAATACAAAGAATTTAATAGTTGGTTTTGGTGATTTGGATTATGCCTTCTTTTGAGAATTTGACAGAGCCAAAATTTGATCGCTGTGATATTGACGATCAATTTGCTATCGTTTCTGACAGTTAGAATTGACATTTTGGACCTTTATGCAAGTTCAGACTTCTTGAATTAATCTAATATACATCAAAATGACTATCTTTGACATTAGGAAGCGATTAATAAGCATTTGTTACCCAAGCTGCAAGGTTATTAATCTTTGCCAAGAATTGCGTAACTAAGTTCTAGGAAGATAATTAGTTTTATCACTTTGTATTTAAGATTGGATCAAATTAGATAGTTCTATTCTCTAAATGCCTATTAAATAGTTTATTTTTAATATAATCATTTGTAATATATTTAATAAACTGATTCTTTTTCATCTTTTATAAAATCCTTATCTATACGCTTTCTCGTTACATTATATAATTGGTAAACTAAACTAAATACCTCTTCATGAAATTAAAAGGTGAAATTTATCAAAAAATAATCCAGGGTTTGAATCCCGGACTTTTGAATAGAATGCAGGATTAATTCCTTGGTGGTATATATCTTCTGATTTTATTTGAATGATTTTTTTTATAAATCTTTTTTAGTTATATATTTTTTGATTATTGATTCAATTAATTTTCTTAGGATTTCCAAGTTAAAAACGATATTGCGTCACTTGACCTCGAAAGATAATTTTATTAAGAAAGTTTTGGTTTTTTTTTTTTTTTATAATAATAAAATAAAATATTTCAATGGAAGTGATTGTATAAACTTTGTAAATATCTATAGAGGTGATATACCAACCTGATGAATTATAATGGATTAATTCAACCCCGGGGTTGAATCCTGACCTTTGAACAGGACAGCGCCTCATAGTTTCGGAATATGTTTCGGCTTTGGACAATATCGGAAGGTTTCAGTACTGCACTACCAGGCGAAACCTCTTTCGATTTCGGCTTTTAGCTTTTGGCGAAAGGTTTAGATTTATATTCTAGAACGTTTTTGGTTAACTTTAAATTTGCGTCTCAACATTGCAACAAGCTTGCGCAAGAATATACTATATCTAGAAACAGATTACTTTTTCCAATTATATTTATCAAAAAAAGTAAACCGCAATGTGCTTATTTATTTAATAATTTAAGATACTATATAATATAGATTATTTTAAATGAATAAAAACAAATTTTTTATTATCCAATTTATATATTCGTTAGTGAGTAATCGAGTTTTATGCTAATTTCGTAAATGATCAGGAATTCGAACAAATTCTGAAACAGTTTTCAAAAAAAAACAAGATATTCCATTATGTTTTTTCATAAATTTGTTAATGGATCGATTAGAGAAATATTTGTACATAAAATCCAAATCCAATTATCAAATAAAACTAATTAAGGTTGTTCTACATCAGACATAATAATTTAGTTTCATTCCACTGGATTTATCATTAATGAATCATCAATGCAAGTACTTGTTAATGAAATTGTTGACGAAATAGGGTGCTTGCTGATGAAACAGTTGAGTAAACAAGTGAGCTTGTTGAAGAAATAATTGTATCCGGCCATGAAAGTATCGAAAGAATTTCTGAAAATAAAAGTTAATAATTATGAAAAAGAAAGATAAATACATAAAAATAAATTTATACAATTTTTTTACCTTCTTTTTCTAATTCAATTTCTCTATGATTACATCTATATTAAATTCTCCAATACCTCATAAATACATTCAACAACATGCCTTTATTCAGGTTCTTATTCCAACATTTATTATATAATTCGTAATATCTATCAGGAGTATCTGACATCCTTTCTTCTCTTTCTCCGCTCAAAATTCGAATATTTATTATATTTCTTGTATAATCATATTCAAAAGGAGCTTTACCGCTTGATATCTCCCATAAACATCCGAATATTTTGTGTAGGGGTGTTTTTTTGTTCGCTCTGCAATTAAAACTTCGGGAGCAACGTATGGAATCATATCAAATA